AAATTCTGATGGAGGGACAAGAAATGCATTGACTAACAAGCCAAGCAACCTAAACAGAGGAAAGCAGAACCCAGGGAAGCACACAACTGACAGGAGCACCAAGTCACCATGGAACAAGGAAACAAGAGTCACATCACATGGCTTTTTAGTGGTGCTGCTGAAGATTTTTTCCCAAACACCTTGCCATTACTCTGGAAAAGCCCCCAGAGCAGCTAATTACACCTGAGCACCAGGTTTAATTTGCAAGCATGGTTTCCCAACTTTAGTTTAAAACAACAACCACCAAAAAAACACTGCTGTCGAGTCGGTTCCGACTCACAGCGACCCTGTAAGTACAGAGTAGAACTGCCCATGGGGTTTCCAAGGAGCGGCTGGTGGATTCAAACTGCCAACCTCTCTTGGTTATAGGTCTGACCTCTGAACCACTGCGCCACCAGGGCTCCAAGTGCAGTTTAGCCTATGTCAATTAAATGTCAAATTGTCATTTTTTTCCCCTTAAAGAGAAAACACATGGGGACCACTAGATGCTCTCATATCACTAAGGTTTTTATTGTCCTGTTTCAAAAATTTGTCAGCAAATTCCCAACTTACAGATTAGAAAAATTAAAAGGTCTCTTAAGTATTCTGGAGGTCACCTTTCAGCCAAATAATAGATTGGCTTGTCAAATAAACAACATCACCTGTGACGAATGTGCTCCCTTAAACCATCAACTATACGAGACCAAACAGTCAACATTTACCCCAAAACAAAGACGAGAAGGCAAGGAGGGAAAGGGAAGCTAGAAAATGGAAACAGAACCAACAGAATGGACACAAGGAGAACGTTGACACATTGTGAACGCTGTAACCGATGGTGCGGAAAAATCGGTATGAAAACTGGTACATGGGAACCTAATTTGCTGTGTAAACTTTCACCTAAAACACGAGAAAAAGCTGGTGATAGGGAACCCAAGGTTGAGTAAGGATATTGTTGATGTGTTGTGACATTGTTAACCATTGTCATAGGGCAACGTGTAGTAACTGTTAAATGAGAAACTATTTTGTCCTGTAAGCCTTCATCTTAAGTGAGAATAGCAGCACAATTGGAAGAGCGTAGTCGATGTCACTGAACTATGCATGCAGAAATTTTTTAAATGGTGTATCTTTGGCTATGTGTATTTTCACAAAAAAAAAAAAAAAAAAAAGTTTGAGAAGTTAGAGGGTTGATATGTTGGGTTGTTAACCAATGTCATAAAACAACATGTGTACTTCTGTTTCATGAGAAACTATTTCTTCTGTAAGCCTCTACCTGAAGTACAATAAAAATAAAAATAAAAAAAAAAAGGTCTCCTAAATAACCATCAACTCTCATGACACTGGGACATTTTGACATATACCTGTTTTATGTCTCACTGCTTGGGCACTATTAGACCAGCCTCTACTCACATGCGACACTTTCAACACAACTGAAATTTGTGAGACTAATTACTTGTAAATTTTGCTACCAACAACTATCTCCTGAAAAGAATAATTTTCATCATATTTTTTTTAAAGTTAAAAGCATAAGAAGCTTAACACACTTTTACCTTGATTTACAGACATGTATTTTTTTCATTTTGTATAAAGGCTAATTTCTTAAAATTCTCAGTTCTTGGATAAATATATAGCAATGCCAAATGTTCTGCTTCCCATAAAGCTAAACTAAAATCTAAGTTTTTTTTTTTTCCTCATGAGCCAACAAGCCTACATAGTTTTTTCTGCATGATCTTACTTAAAATCACCAACAGTTAAGGTAGTATAAACTCTGATTAACTTTTAATAACATATGGTTATCTATTCTCTGAAACTATCAATGAGTTGTCAGTATCCATGGGGCATTCAAGCATTTTAACTTTTCATTAAAATTATTTTTGAGGAAAAAATACATTAATAATGTTTTTACTATTTATTTTAGCTCTAAAAAAAAAGTATTAGATTGAGAGTATGCTAATTTGCCAGATAATGTCAACATCAAATGAAAAATTTTCTCATGAGCTACAAAACTGATAAAATGAATGTCTTCTTCTTCCAAATCCCAAAATTACCAAATATGACATGCTGAAAGATAACCTGGAAATAAACTTTTATCCAAAGGTTGAGTTTTTAGTTCTTTACAAATTTTTTTTTTCTGATTAGTCATAAATATTAGAAGGGTTCCTGGACGTGTACAATAAATAACCCTTTAAAAATATATACTTTTTCTTGATTACTATAATCAGGTAGCTTCCAGAATTCAAATGGATTGCCTAGATTTTTGGGTTTAGAGCTTCCAACCACTGATTCAAAAATTGTACCTTTGCCTCATTAATGATGAAAGTGAGTGTCTCTTCTTGTTTCAGCAGCTAGATAGTAAAATATTTAGCAAAGCTTTATTAACAAATGAAAAAAGGCCCATAAGGATTCCAAAAATACGTATGACAAGGCACTAAGGGAAGTTTACCGTGGCCTTTTTCTATAACTATCTGTGGCTTTTTAAAGCTCATTACTCTCTAGGCTTCACTGCTAAAACAAGCATAAACGTGACATTGACATCCTAGAAGCGTTAGAACTGACAAGTCTACCAGGGACATCTCTCCTTTCTCTCTTAATGGCAAGAGGCTGCGACTGGCCCGTTCTGAGACGGCATCCCCAGCCCCTGCACACAAAGACTGAGACTCACTCTGTTCCCTGTCAGAAGGTTCTCTTTTGTATGGTGCTCAGCTCTGTCTAAGGGCCCAAATATTTAATTATCATTCCCTCATTTCTCCTATATGAAGGAGAACTAGTAAGAAACTTCCACGTCCCTTTTTCTTAGTCTCTTGCACAAAACTGAGAGTACAACCTTCTGACCTTGTTCAGGACCGTGCAACTAGTAAAGGAAAAAAAAAGTTAAAAATTCCTAGTGCTGGAAAGAATAACAGGCTGATCTCAATTCTGTTACACAGGTCTATGGAATCAGGACATTCTAGAAAGTAACAATTTCCCACTTAATGTCGTCACTTTCCATTTTATCTCTATTACCCTATTCCACCCTTCCACTTCCCTTCCAACTAGGCTGAGGACATACTTAGGATCATTTCTTAGGGCAGGAGAACTACAAAATTACTCTATGAAACAAACGAAGAAAACCACAACCAGCTCCAGGATTATTCCTAACCTCAGTCTTCTGCCCTCGCCAACGGGGTCCTTGTTAGGCACCTAGGCTTCTTCTCCATCTTTCCATCTGGCGCTTTGTTTCACAAACTTGCCAACCCTAAGAATCAGCAATGGGGCTGCTTAAAAATGCAGATTCCCTGGCTCCTAACGTACGTATTTCACCAGAAATCTTCAGGGGAAGGACTCAGGAATCTATCCCCTGCCCCCCAAACCATCCAGGTGATTCTTATTATGGGGTAAGTTTGAGAAACACTGTTCTCAGGATTACATTAATCTAAAAAAAGATTCCATTCTTATTTTTTTCTTTATGAATATCTTAAGAAGAGACATATGGATTAAAAGAACTGTGAAGTGCACACATCAAGAGAAAACCCAGTCCGCTTTGAAGGCCAGCCTTTTAGGGTGGCTAAGTAACGTACGAAAATGAACTAACTGTTCGTAGTTATTAAATTGTTATCTGGACAGGCTGGCGGGTCTAAACTATCACCTTAAAACAGACAAGCAAAGCTCCTCAAAACTTTAATTATTCGAAGCATTATTATGCTTCCTATCCATCAACTCTGGAAAGGGATGATCTTTCCTAGCATGTGCTAATCAAAAACCTGCAGAGACTGGAATAGTTACGTCTAAAAGGTAATGCAGGCTTAGGAAAAGCTTCTTGCGAATGGAATAAAAAGACAACAAAGCAGGTCTGGAGACACCTATTTCTCCCGCCACGTTCTCTGCAGAGTGCAGTACAGAACATGGAACACAGAAGGCGTTTAATACGTGGGTGATGAGCAGATGAACGGGGCATGTGCCAGCGATACAGATAATAAATGCTATCATACAATTCAGTCGCATTTATAGGAGAGAGAAGTATTTTAAATAATTTATTTAAATTATGTGGCAAAACACTTTTAGCAGCTTTTACCTGAGTAATTGACACTGAAATTTATTTTAAAAAAGGAAAGGCAAATCCTGAGAGGCCACAAAAATGTAAAAGCAAGGAGAAGAAAAGAAAAACAAAAGGCTACCAGGGGACCCAGTGTCATAAACGCCAGACAAGCAGGCCGTGAGGACAGAAGCACAGAGGGTCACGTTCATGCTCCTACCCCCGTGGACTCAGCATGAAAACGGAGGCCCCGGCGTACTCAGGTGCCCGACTCACAACAACACAACTGAACGACAGAGGGAAGAGAACTGAGCGGGGGCAAAGCCGAGTGGAGATGGCGGGAAGTGAGGGCAGGGGAAGGCGTGCAACACCTCATGCAGGGATCGCGGTGAGGACACTGGGCACCAGGCAACACTGGGTGGGACAGAGGAGCAGTGGGAGGGAGACACACCTCAGTCACAGAAACACACCGCTTACCCTCGGCTTTAGTGGCAGTACCATCTTTAAGCAAATTAAAAAACAAGGGAAGGGACAACAGGGAATAGTTAGTAACATCAAAAAATAAAAAAGCAGAATGTTATTAGCTACTAAACAAGCAAAAGTACAGTTTAAAATAAAATTAAAAGGAAAACAAGTTCAACAGCAAAGCCGAGTCTGAAGCATGTCAGTGCGCTTTACGATGAAGCTGGCTTGGCAGCATATGATTCTGGCTTTGGAACACAAATAACAAAGAGGATCCACAGCAGTGCCACACCTGAAGGAGGGATGGTCTTTTTTTTTGGCCAATCCTCCTCCTCCTAAGAGTTCCTTTTCCTCAGCATTAAGTACTAGCAGAATAGAGGGAGAAAAACTAAAGCTGAAAACACTACGGAGTCACCCATCGGGCAGAGGGGAGAGAAGCTCAGCGAAGCCGGCTCTAGCAGTCGCCTATCCCCACTACACATCTAGCAGCCAAAGCTGTTGAGCACGGTACCTGAGTCAAGGCCTACGTATTCCATGTCTTCCCTCATGTGTCTGGACTCTAGAAGTTTGGAAAAGGATCATCAGCTTTAATGCTACACTTTTGCACAAATGTAGAATGCACCGCTGCAAATGTGTCACACTCAGTAGGAACTAACCGATTCCCAGCAGGAGTACGTTGTATTTCAGGCGTTGTATGTGTGTGCGCGTGTGCGCATGTATTTTAACGTAATAAGGAAAGCAGGGGTATAATTCTTAGGAAAAGGTAAGAGAATCAGAATATTCTCTCTGGACTCGTTATCAAAGAGGTAACACTGAGCTGGAATGTATTATCAGTGCCTCTAATGGGTCAGTTCTATATCATCAGACTAAAAGACCTGAGTACTTTGACTAGCACTGGGGGAGTCTACACGGTCAAACTGAAATAGTCTAAATACTCACAGAAAAACAAACGTTACTTAGGTACTCTAAAAGATGGTTTTTACCCAAGTTTCCAAGCAATGAAACAAACACCAATTACAAATACCAAAGGTGGAACCCATGTGCTGAAACACAGGTAAGTACGTAAAAATCGGGCTAAAATTAACAGAACTGATTCACTACAGGAGAGTAGAGTCATTATTTCTAATATAATGATTACATGTCAACATAATATAAACATTTCTACCTAATGTTGTAATAGTTAGCCAGTGGAAAAGGAGAGTTCTTATCGAGTTTCTTCCAAACTGAAATGTATGTATGAATGCAGCATTCCCAGAGAGAAACAAGACTGGTTTGTGTTGACAAACGTTCCAGAATACATACCTTCCAATTAATAAAGTTCCTAAAATAATCATACTTCTTTAACCTTACATAACGACACGTTACCAAAGGCCTTTATATAATTTCATTGATCCACGTGACAAATCTGAGTTAGGTGGCTACTGTTACCAGTAACTTATGGGTAGGAAACACAGACTCAAGGATTCTATGGCCAGGTCAAGGTCAAGGTCAAGGTCACAAAACTAATATACAGGAGACCCAAAAGCGTCCTCTCAGTGTTCTCTTAACTGTGCTTCCAAAGCTCAAAACATCTTCAGAACTTTAGTTTTAGAACTAACTTTGGAATTAGTTTGTAAACCACCTAAGCAACTAGGTTTCAAAAAGTTTAAACTGTATTCATTTCCTTAAAATCCAAAACAGAACCATCTAGCTAAATCCCCTTATTTTGGTTTTGAACAACAACTTGGGTCTTTCAAAAATAAAATGAACTGAACTAAAACCAGCCTTAACGTAGTAGGTGTTCAGTGTTTGCTGGAAAAGATGAGTAACAGACCCACTACTATGTCAGGTATTAATTCTTTTGGAAGAGGGTCTCACAATAATTTTTAAAGAACTGGAGGGACAATCATTCGAGCGAGGGCATGACCCTTACATGGTGACACACGGGAGGAGAGCACTCTTTGTACAGGTATGTTGGATAATAAGTCCATCACATTCCTTTAGAGTCCCACCCTAAACTGAGGAACTGCTACCATGGCTCTCTGGTCAACCTACAGGCTCGCTCCCACCAGGGCCAGGAAGAGGGAAAGCCGAGCTTCGGCCCATGGGGAGCAGGCTGGCCGTGACGGAGCGGGTGACACCAGGGGAAGGAAGTGCTCAGTCCACATGCTTTATGAGCATGAGTGTGCTCCCTCCTCACTGAGAAGGACGATGCTCCAGAGAAAGGAGACACGCAAAAAGAGGTGGCCGTTAACCAGCAGTGAGCACAGGAAGTTACTCTACTGAAATATCCCGCCCTGTGACAGCGAAAATGTCTCAGTTAGGGTTTCTGTAATTTGCTAAATAAGCAACACAATGAAGTAGCGGTGGGTGTCCCTCAAACAGCGGAAGTGGGGAGGGGGGGTAAAGTTACCTAAGGATGCGTATGACCCTGGAGGCAAAGCCGCTGCGGAGCTGAAAGGCGTGACGCCCGAGGAGGAGACCTTGGACTTGGCACTGGCCGCTGCGTTCACATCAATATCACTTCGAGAGCGCTGCAGGGACCCGGTTGTTGACACAGATTTGGTACTAACTGTCGAAGCTTTGGTAAGGAAGGACAGAATGTTAGGAAGGACGATATTGGAATTTTAAATATTTACTGTTAAAACGTGCTGTTACTTTGCTTTCTTGAAAGGAAATATTCAGTTTTAACAAATATCTAACCACACAGCAGTGACCGACACCTTCTCCTCATCACTGAAGATAGAGTTCAGCCAAAAAGCTAAAGGAAATTAAAAAGTGATCTCAACTATATACTTATGACATTTGTTCTCTTGTAATCAAAGACTATTAACCTCCCCCAAAATGGACCATATTTCTGGTTAATACAAAAAGTAAAATAATGCAAAAACCTCCGCATCTGGCCAGTGTCCTCAGGCTGCGGCATAAACATCAAGGTCACGCTTACCCAGAAGCCCCCCTTTCAGGAGGAACCAGGAAAACGTACCCCTCTCCCACCTCTAACAGCCACTCAGCTGCTGCTGCTGTGACTCATCACGAGCATCTCCACCTCCCACCCAGCCATGAGAGCAAACGGGCAGCACTGTTTGTGCCAGTAACAATGTGCTGGAGGGAGGTGGGTTACCAAGGTCACGGAGCTTAACCTCTGCCCGCGTAAGTCATGCTGACAGGGTCTCCTCAGCTGCACCGGGGCCTCTGGAAACGTGGAGCTCTGCCCAGGACAGTCAGAACACAGAGCAGAGCACACCGTTTCCAAACCCGGAAACAGCCTGAGAGCAGCTACGCAGGCTTCCGCGCACAGCACCACCTGAAGGTAAGAACAGGGCCCTCCGTGGACTGCCTTCCCCGCAGCTGTTCAGCTTACCTCTAGATGTGGTACTTCCAGTAGGACTTCTTTTTGCAGTGAGGGGCCGGCTGAAGATAAAAGTATACACTGTTTATTATCAATTGTGCACTTTATCTGCATTAACACAACTACACAGTACAACAGGAAGTTATGACAATGAAGAATTATTCTAAAGTTTATTGACTTTTTTAGAGGATTTGGACCACAGTCCTATAAACTCCCAATTTCGGGCAAGCTTTAGCGTAATATTTTGGGCTGTCTTTCACACATGGAGAAGTCAAAACTAGAGACAGCTGTTAGAAATACAGGGAGAAGGTGATAACACTTTAAACAAAAAATCCAAGTCAGCTGCCTGGGAGTCAATTTGGACGCGTGGCGACCCTGTGTGTCGGAGTGAAACTGTGCACCATAGGGTTTTCAATGGCTGGTTTTTCAGAAGTAAACTGCCAAGCCTTTCTTCCAACGTGCCTCTGGGTGGACTCAAACAACCAACCTTTGGGACAGCAGCCAAATGCTTAACCGTCTGTAGCACCCAGGGACCCCACTAATGGACTAAGACCCGGGTTTTGAATGCCCTCCCATTCCAAACATTATCTGCAAGTTCTCTCACCATCTCTTGTAAGACTCGTTGAAGTGTTCCTCTGTGTAATTCACACTACTCTGTAATTCATTCTCCTTACTTTAAAACTGCAGGCTAGGACTGCCACGTAAATTTCACCGAAACACTTCCGGCAGAGACCAAGGCCTCCCACTTCCTCCCGTTCACCACGGCACTCTGACCTAGCAGCAGACTCTACCTGAAGGAAAGGTTTCAGGGGACTCACAACATCCCACGCATTTTATTCTTAAAGATCTCACACCGATGAAAAGCAGAGCTGAGTTCCTTACTTCAGACTCTCTTGTGAGCTGGAAGATGAGCGATCTGACTGAGGCAGAGACACTATGCTGTCCGAGTTCTTCAAATGGGACTGAAGGGCCTTCTGGTAGGAGGACTCCAGGGTGTGGTATAAGTGCTCTGCTTCTCTGCTGAAGTGACTGTGGAAACCCCAGTAACATCTGCGAAAGCACACAACTTCTGTTAGAGTCAGTGGATTGTGACAGGAACTCGCTGATCTGTGGAGCACAACACACACTTCCTAGGCCTAGAATCCCGTTTAGCTGCTAATAGGCTTTATTAAAATAAAATAACATATATTTCAGTAGCAGCAGCAGTGTGGTATAACGAAGACAGAGTATGAACTAAACAGACCTGGTGTGAAACCTGGCCTCATAACTTACTGGTTTTTTGACACTGGGCAACATACTTCTCTGATCATCAGTCACGTTTAGAAAACAGGAATTAAAGGGCCTAGGTTAGAAAACTGAGGAGCATTAGGGAAGATGGAGCTAAAACATTTCAAACTGTGCCTACAACACGGAAAAACAAACGGTGGTGGTGGTGTTAGGTGCCGCCAAGCCAGTTCCAACTCACAGTGACCCTACATGTAACAGAATGAAACACTGCCCGGTCTTGCACCATCCTCACAATTGTCGTTACGTTTGAGCCCATTACTGTAGCCACTGCGTCAATCCATCTCATCCGGGGTCATCTTCTTTTTCACTGACCCTCTACCTTACCAAGCATGATGTCCTTCTCCAGGGACTGGTCCCTCCTGATAACGTGTCCAAAGTACGCGAGATGACGTCTCGCCATCTTCAATTCCAAGGAGCACTTTGGCTGTACTTCTTCCAAGACAGATTTGTTCTTTCTTCTGGCAGTCCACAATATATTCAATATTCTTCACCAACACCGTAATTCAAAGGCATCAATATTCCTTTGGTTTTCCTTATTCACTGTACAGTATTCACATGCAAATGAGGCCATTGAAAATATCATGGCTTGGGGCAGGTGCACCTTAGTCCTTTAAAGTGATATCTTTGCTTTTAAACACTTTAAAGAGGTCTTCTGCAGCAGATTTGCCCAATGTAATGCATCTTTTGATTTCTTGACTGCTGCTTCCATGAGCATTGCTTGCGGATCCAAGTAAAATGAAATCCTTGACGTCAGTTTTTTTCTCCATTTATCATGATGTTGCTTATTGGTCCAGTTGTGAGGATTTTTGTTTTATGTTGAGGTGTAATCCATACTGAAGACTGCAGTCGTTGATTTTCATCAGTAAGTGCTGCAAGTCCTCTTCACTTTCGGCAAGCAAGGTTGTGTCATCTGCATATTGCAGGCTGTAAATGAGTCTTCTACCAATCCTGATGCCACATTCTTCTTCATATAGTCCAGCTTCTCGGATTATTTGCTCAGCATACAGACTGAGTAAGTATGCGAAAGAGTAAAACCCTGATGCGCACCTTTCCTGACTTTAAACCACGCAGTACCCCCTTGTTCTGTTCAAACAACTGCCTTTTGGTGTATGTACTGGTTCCTCACAGGCACAATTAGATGTTTTGGAAATCCTGTTCTTCGCAATGTTATCTATAATTTTTTATGATCTGAACAGTCAAATTCTTTTGCGCAGTCAATAAAATAGAGGTAAACATCTTTCTGGTATTCTCTGCTTTCAGCCAAGATCCATCTGACATCAGCAATGACATCCCTCATTCCACGTTCTCTTCTGAATACAGCTTGAATTTCTGGTTGATGTACTGCTGCAGCCACTTCTGAATCACCTTTAGCAAAATTTTACTTGTGTATGATATTAATGATATGGTTAATAATTTCCACATCCGTTGGATCACCTTTCTTTGGAACAGGCACAAATATGGATCTCTTCCAGTTGGCTGGCCAGGTAGCTTCTTCCAAACTTCTCGGCATAGACGAGGGAGCACTCCCAGCGTGGCATGTGTTTGTTGGAACATCTCAGCTGGCGTTCCATCAGTTCCTGGAGCCGTGCTTTTCACCAGTGCCTTCCGTGCAGCTTGGACTTCCTGATTCAATACCTTCGTTTCTTGATCATATGCTACCTCCTGAAATGGCTGAATGTCGACCATTTCTTTTTGGTACGGTGACTCCATGTATTCCTTCCATCTTCTTTTGATGCTTCCTGCGTTGTTCAGTATTTTGCTCATAGAATCCTTCAAAATTGCAATTATAAATGCAGTCTGACATTCACTGATTTGAGGTACAGGCAGCCCCCAGCTTTATGAACGATTTCCATTCCCAAGTCTGTCTTTAAGTTGAATTTGTACTTAAGTCGGAACAGTGACGTACAGTTCATACCCAACATCCGTTAGTCAAATGTTTGTCTTAGTATACAGTTTACCTTTCTATGCATCAAAAACATTAAAGAAACACTTCCAGATACACTAAAATGTTTTTAACGTAATAATACAGTAATAACTATAAAAACGTTTTCATGCACATTGCAAAGTAGCATCAAAATGCACCACCCTTTCGTTATTACGAACCATTGTTTGTACCTCAAATTTTTAATTTGATATGCTTTACGGGGTTTGATTTGTAACTACAGGTTGTACATAAGTCAGATCTTTGTAACCCGGGAACTGCATGTATTTAACAAGAAATGTTCAGAGCTACTTGAACTCTATATTATGGTTAGAGAAACAGAAAAAATGGGGGGGGGAGGGAAATACAAGAGTTAAAAATAGCAAATCTACTCTTAACATTTTTTAATAACTATTACTAAGTCACTTATTTTGACAGGAACAACCCAAGATGAGGTTGTGGTAAGCACTTAGGAGTTACGGTGAGGTTGTCCAGGGAAATCAGAAACAAGGAAAACATAATTTAACTGTGAGCATAGTTCAGGGGGCGACGAGCGTCAGGTCAGGATGCATTTACACAGACACATAAGACTGGAGTGTTCCAGGCTAGTGAGGCTAGATTTTAACCTGAGTCAACTAGAAGAGTTGGTCAACTATGGAAATATAGAAGAAGCAGTCACAGATGCAAAGTTGCCCTGCCCAGGAAAGACAAAGTCTCAGCATCCAACATCTAGTAATTATAGTTACAAACAGCACAATTATTCCCCAGGAGGAACCCAGTGTAGGCAGTCACAGCCACGTGGTGGGCCATGACCAGTGCTGGCGGCCAAAGCAGCTCAAATGTGAGATGGAGATGAGCCACCCCTGGGACGTCACTGCCTATCAGGGCACCCCAACCCCCCGACGGTGATTCACATTCGACAACGACGGCTTCATGCTTGCAGAGACGTGACCCCAGACCCTCACGACAACAAGCTTCCGTGGGAAATCAGTAAGGTAGCTTTGGATTACCATTTGGCTTTTAACAGAGCTTAATTAAGAAGAAACACACTGATCAGGCATAAAGCGCTTTTCTAACTCATGGTAACTTCTCATAAATTAAAAAAAGGGCACTCTGTTGTCTACCTCAGTCCTGTTTATATTCAGATAATGTTAAGCCTGGGCACAAAACAACCTTCTGAAAAAAAAAAAAACCTAGAGAAAGATTCTGAAATGGTCTTTCTGGGTCATATTAAAGTCATGATTAACAAAACATGTTCTAGTAACGGAATGAGCGTTCAATGAGGCAACCCAGATAAGTCGTCTGAAGTATACAAGCAGTTAATCAAAGAAGAGGTGTACAATAAAAACTTACTTTCTGGCTTCTATCCTTGCTTCAGAATCTGCATCGTGAATTCCCTTCTTTATTGTTTCGGCTAATACTGATATGTGTCTAGACATTTGGAAAAGAAAGCAGTATTAACCTTAAACATGTGGTTTTCTGTGGATGAAAACAGGTGTGGGAAATAACTTCCAATGGTAACGTGGAACTTGGGGCCTCTGTGCCGAGGTTAGCCACCTAACACGTAGCATGAACAATCAGAACACTCTTGGAGAATTCGAGAACTTCTCATCCTGTCGCAGGACCTGACCTCCACACCCCACCCCGACCTTGGTAACTAGTGTCTTATGTAATTCATCCTTAACAGGTCACACTTATTTAACTCAATCTTTTATGAACCCAAACAACAAAACTCTATTTTTCCATGGTCAGAATTAGTTTCTATGGGAATAGAAAAAAATGAGCTAATAATAATCTTAACCCTATAATTAAACAATGTTTTTTTCAAGTTGCCCTAACATTTAACATGAACAATTTTATAAAATGTGACATTTTATAAAGAGGTATTCTCTTTAGCTACAGATTAGCTAAGAACAGATCATCAAAATGTCTTATGAATATTTAACAGAGCTTAAAGAAAATGACTGGGATGACGTTTCAATGAGTTTACAGAACAAAGACAAACGACCAATTTCACTAGCCCTCTCAAAGCCTCTGCCTCACCCCTTTGTTTACCCAGAAAACAACGAGCGCGCACCTGCGACACGGTGGACACCAGGCTAGAAGGTGAACAAACGTGCCATGAGGCCGTACCCGACCCCTTCAAGCCTTTTGTTCTGCTCACTTATCCCCACATTAAGTCCCTCAAGTCCACTTTCCATGTCTAAATCCCAAAACGATCACCACACAGAGTATAAGTACCCAAGCGATTAAAGAACAAGGAGTTCTGAAGAACATGTGTGGCTATTTTCTAGATTCAAAGTATTTATTTTCAGATGAAATAAATTCTGCCTCCTGGAGGTTTAGCTTTGTTTTCTCTTTGACCACTGCCATCTAGAATGAGACCTACGTTGTTGTCAGGTGCTGCTGAGTTGGTTCCGACTCATATGAGACCTATAGGCATACTCAGTTTATTAAAATTCCACTACTAAGAAAACATTTAATGAGTCATAAAGTTCTCCACAAACTATATAATACACCATTAAAACATGGCTGGCGTAAAATCATCATCATCTATTGTCTCTAAATTTAACTCAGAAAAAACAGGCAGCTAAAATTCATAGGAACTAAAAATGGCAACCTCAAAAAAAAGGAATCTGAAAATTAACAGAGACACACTTCCTCAAGAATGCTACCACAATCCTGCTCTGTTAAGAATGATACGAAAGTCACCACACACCACCCTGAATAAGGAGCGAACTTCTGACACCAAAAAAAGAAAACAAACCCGTTGCTGTCGAGTGGATTCCGACTCATAGTGACCCTATAGGACAGAGTAGAACTGCCCCATAGAGTTTCCAGGGAGCGCCTGGTGGATATGAACCGCCAACCTTTTGGTTAGCAGCCGTAGCCCTTAACCACTATGCCACTAGGGTTTCCAACACACACAAATAAAAAGCTTTCAAATGAGTGAAATTCCTCTATGGACCTGAGAGAGACACTTTGCAGCCAACCCTTCAGAACTGACAGGAACGTTCCAGAGCAGGACGAGAGGCGACAGAGCTAATCCTGCTTCTCGGCTGCACGTGTGTCCACATTCTGCAGCACACTCTTACTTTAATAACTGAAATTTATTCAAAGTTTCTGCCAATATTATGTGGCTCAAAACAGTCACGTACACAAATCCCTTAATTTCTTACAGAAAATGGGTTGGACCACTCACTGAGGTATTAAATCCCAAGATTCAACTCAGAGGAAAAAACCATTTCAAATCAGATGCTCACCGTTCCAGCGAATGTGTCTGCCATTCTTGTAAAAGTAAATCTAAAAATTCAAAGCAGCGCCTGAAAAGTGTTCAGAAAAATACATAGAACTTAGTAATTTGTAAGTTAGTGAAAATAAATCAGCTTATTTCTTTTTTTTCCTCCCCCTTTCTTCCGTTTTACTTATTTATTTTTATTGTGGTAACAAACCTAACGGAACATCTGCCATTCCAACAATCGTCACACGTACAGCTGAGTGACATTAATTACGCTCGTCATGTTGGTCAGCCATTACTCATCCATTCCCAAACGAGCTAATGTTTTCTAAGTGACCCAACATTACCTTTTATAACTGGTAAATTACTTCTGCTTTTTATTATTATGAAAATGGAACGTAAAGAAGGAATCAAAATTGACAGCAAGCCAAAGCAAATCCAAGTAATTAAGCCATTTATGGCAGTCACAGGACGGGTGACAGCTGCACTGGTGGGGACAAGGTTTCCTTCAATCAGAAACCGCTTCAGGGGACACTGCCGAAAGGCCTTATCACTGTCATCTGCCTTTATCTTATCCCGATACCGCATAATGCAGACTGTGTGCAGGAAGAGAACATCCGCGCACAGTAACTGAATCAGGAATCGGTGTTTGCGTTAATTTCACAGAACGCCTTGCACAAACGCATAGAAAATACAGTGAAAATCAAGTGTTCCCCACATTTCCCTGTAACAGCAACCTACGTGGTGACTAGAATTGATTTTCTCTAGCCACTCTGCTGCTTTTCCCCCTTCAATGTTTCCTTTGCAAGTCCTCTCATTTCTGTGATAGTTCTTGGTCTGGTTCCTGCACACTTCAGGCCCTGCCTCTTTATGATCTCCTTTTTTAATGTCCAGGATTCCTATCTTTATAGTCCTAGGAACCCCTTCACGGAAACACAAATCAGAAGGTAATCTTTCTCTGATGAAGTGACCAGAGATTCTTTCCCATGATCCTCTTGAATTTAAAATCTCATAATCCATACAATTCTTCACTCACTGTATGTTTAATAAACCTGTGCTAGATGCTGGAAATACAATGATAACCAAGATACAGGCCAGAAAGACAAACAGTCCAGGAAACAGTCACCAAGCAGTGCCAGGGCTCCACCAGACAGTGACCTAGCTCAGTCCCGGGGCTAGGAAGAGAGCGGGAGAGGGAGCTTTCTCAGAGAAAAAGACACTCAACTACACCAGCACCCTACCCTCATTCCTACCCGCCTTGTCCCTACCCCCCAGTCCCTACCCCTCGTCCCTACCCCCTAACCTATGCGATGCTCATTCTATTTCCACCCTCCAGCCACACCACTTCCCGGTTGGGATTTTTCACCTTTTTCCCACCTACTCCTACTCATATTTCAAGAAGTGGCTCAATTCTCAGCTCACCTAGGATGCTTCGCGGGAAGACATCAGCAGCTGGCTTTAATCACCGCCTGCCCTGAACCGGTAAACAGCTCCACACTATCCTTCGTTCCGTGAGTTTTGTAATCCCCACAACTAACCCACAAGCTTCTTAAAGGCAGGGAAACTGTGCAACCCATTTTTCACAAATTCGACAAGGCCAAGTGAGGCACAGGTTGAACTGTCTCAGGTTCTCAGGGAGGAGGGGCCTGGCCACCTGTCACCTGTGTAAAGGCGGGGGACTGAGCCAGATGACGCCTGTTACTTCTCTGCATGAAGACACAAGGTTCTGACTAATGTTCACGGACTAAACCCAGGCCAGGAATCAGGGTGTGTGTTCCAGAAATTGGGGGGGGGGGGTAGGGGTGACATTTTCATCGTCACAGTGACTCTAAGTTGTTACCAGTATTGTCAGAGGCTAGAACTGCTAAACATCCTGCAATGTTCCACAACAAAAAACTATGTCACTCCGGAAGACCAACAGCACCTTAGTGGAGAAATTCTGCCTTACACAGAAAAAAAAATCCTGAGCTTCCCCTGGAACCTACAACAGCAGTGGTGAGGATAATAACAGCAGCAGCTGCAAACACTAATACTGGTCACTATTTATTAAGCTTTCACTAAGTGCCGGGCCCCTTTCACCTCCACGAGTGGGACTCCTCACAACAGCCTGCAGACGGGTGCCCCTCGCTCCTCATGGACCACACAACTCACCTGAAGCCGGCAGGCTGGCAAGTTCATAACCGCACCTCTACCTTGCTGAGCTCACACTCTCACCTCTAGGGGAGCTGAAGCTGCTCCGCTCTGCTCCCAAGGAGAAGGTGGACTGTGGTTCAAGGGCAGATGGCATTCCTCAAGGATATACAGTTGGGCCATGCCGTTAGAAATCCAGCTTTTTCAGTGAAAGGACCAAATTTCTTTTCTCTAGGCTTCAGACAGTTAGATCATTCCCCTTCCTTTCTCCCTCTTGCCTTCCATATAGCTGTCAGTAAGATGGATCTCGCCACTTCACGCTTAGGAGGGCCCTCGCCATGGAAGCAGAGCCCCAGGAAAGCAGCAACAAGCAGCTACGGTGAGCTGGGCTCTCACCGGACTAAGATCCAACGTGGGATTCCAGAAACGGGCTCAGGAAGCTGCTGCCCAGGCCTGCCATTAATTTACCCTACAAGGTTCCTGATACTGCACATGGAGAGGCTTTAGTGGCATCCATGAGACAACCGAAGACTTAAACAAAACTATCCTGTGTATTTACATTTTGCTGGGAAGAGGGTCCACAGATTTTAAAAGACTCTCAAAAGACTCAGTGACCTAAGAGTCGAGAACCGCTGATCTGAGCTAGAACAGTCCTCATTCCTTACATGTGGTCTAGGGCAGCTCATTAGAACACAAGGCACGGCAAGCCCTGTGAGGAAGCTCTAGCCAGTTTCCCAGTGTGCACCTGCCTGGGACATCTGAGTACAGCCTCCAGGACTGTGCGGTGCAAGCAGGTGGCTGGTCAGGGTTCAGAACACCAGAAGTCACTATCGGAATACACAAACATACACCTCCTCCTCCCTATGGAATATTTAATTGTTGCTGTTTTTTGTTGTTAGTTGCTGAGTTGATTCTGACTCGGCAACTAACTGCTCCATAGGGTTTTCTTGGCCGTAATCTTAACGGAAGCAGATGACCACGCCTTTTCTTTCCTGGTGCCTCTGAGTGGATCTCACTGCCAGCCTTAAGTTAGCAGTTGAGTGTAAACCGTTTGCACCACCTGGAAACCTTAATATTAAATTACTGCCATTGATAGTTACGACATTCTGTTTCTCGCACGCAGTTACTGCCTTCATTCAGGGATTGGGGAAAAATGGACAGGGGGTCCTCTCCTTTATCCCTCAGTCCCCACACCCCTCTCTCTCTCTCTCTCTCTCTGTCACTCACATTCCTACAAATACAAACACAGGACAGGCTGTCCAAATTCACCTGTCAACTCAAGAACATTTACTGCAGCAACCTTAAGTAGTATTAAAAACTGCATACATTAACTTTTTTTCCACGAAAGGAGATTTGGAGTTTGTTACGATTTTTCAAAAAGTCCAAAACCAATGAGGAAATCCTCTAGAATTTTACCTTCTAACTGCAACAGACTTAGAGGTACAGTTGCTTGTTATGACAGGTATTAGCCTAGGGATGTGTGTGTGCTGTGGAGAAAAACAAACAACAGAGGTGAACAACTGAAAATACCAATCCAAAAAAAAAAAACTAAGAGAGCCACTTCCTTGTACAATCTACGTAAAGCAGATACATACTCAGATCAGAATTTCATTGAGTTTTAAAAGTAAAAAGAATTTCATTGGATATTGCCAAAGGCCACACAAAATTTACAGAGTCAAAACCAGGCAATACAATGATATGTAAGTAAGTTTAAAATTCAGAACAGATCATCACTATGAGGTTTCAATCAGCTGAACGCTGAGGTCTGAGCAGTTTTACAGGAAACCCTGTGACTCTGGCACTGTTTGGCACCAATGTATTCTGATATTGTTTCTATGGCTCTGGGTTTAATTTCTGAAGTATGAAGAGCAAACAGTAAAAACTAAAACTAATACAAAGTAAGTAACCCACAGGATCAGGAATAATTAAAATCATCAAGCCCCAAAGTTTCAAGGGGTGCCTCTGGGGAAAAGGGAAGGGGTGACAGAGAACACTGCTATTTTTTTCATTTTAAGCCTTTGTGAACCATTACGTTTTACTGAAAACTTGTGCATAAATTACTTGGATAATTTAAATTTAAATAAATAAGTGCTTAGAAAGCATAACTGAAGAGGATATTTTTGTTCCTCTGCTTATGGACAATTGACTTAATAAGAGTTTCAGGCGAATAACAAAAACACAGGCACAAATATCAAAATGGAAGGATGGAAATTAAAGAGGAAAGAATATGGAGAGCAAAACAACAGAGCAAAAACTAAGAAGCAGATGCTGAAAGACGAAAAACCAATGGTGAATCAACGATCAGCTGTTCAGTGACTACACGTCATGCCCGTAATTTACATCAAGGAAGATAAAATGTTCATATGCCGTAATTAAGTGGGGGGCGGGCCGGTGGGGGGGACAGCACTTTATGTACAGCAAGATTCTAACTACATATTAAAAAGAAAACGACTTGGAAAATATACTAAAACATTGGCACTGGTTCTTTCTTACATGCTAGAGTTACAGATGATTTATTTCCTTCTTTATCATTTTCTTTATTTCCAAAATGTGTATCGTTACAGCCAAAAGTGATAATCATGTTAATGAAAAAAACGCCTCTAATATTTCTTGTCACCACTAATTCCCACTTGCTTTCGTATGCATAACCCTAAAATATACTTACACGAATGATTAACCTAACTGCTACAACACCAGACGTGGCCATGATTTTGGCACTGTTTGGAATTAAATTAAAGATGGTTGGCATGATGGCTTCAGCTCCATGGTCAAACTTGTTCCCCAGAACCGATGACAGATGCCTACAACAAGGAGGGAATACCGGGCTGTACTTCACTTTCTGGTGAGCACTGAAGCAAATCAACTCTGTAACATTTTAGAGCCTTCATTTAAACTTAGCGAGGGGTAAAGGATGGGGGGTCCTTTACCCCTTTGCTTTTACTTTAAAATACTCTTAAAAAGCACTTCCAATGTGCACATAGAAGGCTTGGCAAAAAGCCATTAACCCAAGAGGGGTTTTTTTTTTTTTTTAAAATAAATCATTTCCAACTTATTTGTCGTAAAATAGTAAAAAACAATCAAACAACTTGATTATATACTAATAAACCATAAATATGAATAAGCTCCCTTACTCCTTTTTCCTTTTGGTCTTTTTTTTTTTTTTAACGTACTTCAGATTAAGGTTTACAGAACAAACAGTTTCTCATTAAACACTTAGCATACATATTGCTTTACGACATTGGTTAACAACCCCACGACATGTCAACACTCTCCCTTCTTGACTTTGGTTTCCCTATTACCAGCTTTCCTGTCCCCTCCTGCCTTCTAGTCCTTGTCCCTGGGCTGTTGCGCCCCATTAGTCTCACTCTGTTTTATGGGCTATCTAATCTTTGGCTAAAGGGTGAACCTCAGGAGTGACTTCATTACTGAGCTAAAAGGGTGTCCGGGGGCCATATTCTTGCGGTGGCCTTTTATTTTTAACATATAATATTCTTGCTTCAACATATGACTGTAACCAAAACTTTACAGAGTAGCAATGCCTCTTTATTGCTGTTGCTGCTTTGATATTCTGACATACAGTCTAACACATGAGTTTTAGCTGCAAACATAGATACAGGTCTAGCTAGCCTAAAACTCTACTGTACGATATGCCTTTAATGCCAACTTTATAGCTACAGTATTCTCTGAAAACAAACAAGCAAAAATTCTAATAATCATGCTATATCCTGCCAGCAAAATCAATGAAAGATCTAAGCAGAAACAGAATTTTATAAAATTGCATTTTTCTGCATTATTAATAACTGCTTCCAGTTTACAACAGAGGTTACAGAGCTGTACCATTGAAAAAAATAACATAAAAAATCTGGGATACTTTATGTAACTGGGCAGGAAATTTTGTAAGATTACAACAGAAGCATAACTGGAATGGGTCTTGAGACTAACTGGAAGTCACATTAGAGACCCCCCATCTGACACAATGCATGAGCCCTCAGTGAGGCATTCGGACGAGGCTATATCGCGAGGTGGAGAATGTGGCGCGTGGCAGTCCTTACCCCAGTGTGATACAAGCCTCCCGCACTACCTGAGACCGGAGATCCTTAGCGGATAGTTTAAAGGCTCCATCCAAGAGACGCAGATGTTGAAAGAAGTTATCATACTCAGCAGCACCAGCCAAAAGTAAAGACCGAATTTTTTTTAGCTAATGGGATAGAGAAAATTAGGAGAGATACAAAACAATTCTTCCAACAGTATATACTGAATAATACAAGCCATCAAATAGAAAAAAGATCAACGTCAAAGTTCAACAAATATCAGAATGGTTTTACCCAAAATAATCCAGCCGATTAATGTTAAACAATACATTGAACCAATCTACATATCACAAGTAATATCAAATATTTTTTATATGTAGTATCTAAGCACCTATGATAAATACACTACAGTTCTACAAAATGTGCTGTTGTTGTTTTAATTGGAAACATTTTAGCATATTTATAGATTCTATTATACAAATGATAAAATAACTAAATTCTTCATTTTGGGCTTGTAGAAGACCCTCCTACCCTCACCTTTTCACACACCCAACTCCAACAGCCATTTATTTAATAAATGAAAGGAACAAGCAATGCTATCTTTCTGTATCATGCTCCACTGCATCGTTATTAAAATGCTAATCTGAATTTGAAACAGAATGTACAAATCTTTTACCACTTCTCTTCTTGCCAGCCAGCTATTGTAAACTAGCTTTCCTCAGGCAAAACAGATTCTCACTTTAATATTCAGCCCGCTTATTTTCATTAATACATTTTTAAAAATAGAGGCACAACTTTTTAGCAAGTGATATGAAGAAAGAAAGGCATATTGAGGGATATGCACTGGAAATGCCATTAAAAAGACACTTTACAGAATCAGATCTTTACTAGGATGGGCATAGAGGCTGGCACCACAGTCCATAGTTAGAGCTCTGTTGAATGAACAGGATATATCTAAAGGTATAAGTTGGTATGTTTTAAAAAGAGAAATAGAACTGAGGTACTCTACTAAAAAGATAAAGTGCTAATATGGTCATTTACATTCAAAATATCTACTATTTAAAGCTCATAAAAGCTGTACTCTGATTTCATAAAAAAGTACTTAGAATATTTAAATAAACCTAATGCAAATGTAACCCCATGAAGTCAATGGCTTACAGCATTTACTCTTTGCTCCCAATCATGCTTGTCATCAGACAGTATTTCCCTAATTTTGTTTATGGATTCCTCAAGGTCTCGAGCAGAATAAATCTGTAAGCAAAATTAATTTACAATCAATATAAGAAAATTCACATAATAAACAAAGATTACTTTTTAATTACATACAGTAAGTATAAGAAATGGTCTCATTTTTAAGAATTATCTGTAAATAACATTTCAGCAGATTTTTCTGAGAATGAGCTGCTTTTCTGCTGGGAACGTGTCCCCACGAGATTTGCTGGCCACGTGTGCACAACCCTCTCATGCATACACAGCTTCGCTATAAACTTCACGTGTGAAAGGACAAAGATGCCTGCAAGGGACAGTCACTGATGCTCACGTGATCTGTTACTCCTAGTATCGTTTCTAACACCACGCAAGACCTGTAACTCTAAAGTCTACTTTCTCATTTATTCCCACAACTTACTTCTGAGATGGGCAGGGGAATAATCAACCATGAATGAGGCACGCTGGGAAGGTCAAGCATTTCAGAATGAACTGAGCCTCAGACACTTCTTATCTGGATTTATATACATACGGAAAGCAAGCAGCAGATGGCAAGGGATCACGCAGTCAATGCTACAGAAATCCAGCACTGAATGTGGGCTGACGAAGGACATTGTTACCTAGTCCCCGTCAGCACATGAAGATACTATGGCACAAAACAGGAAAAAAATCTCTGACTATACTCCAGCTGTTATACTCTTTCCTCTAGCTGTTAGGTACTTAAGCGAAGCATCAAAGATGGTAGGAAGCAAGCTTTTATTAAACCATTCTCTATAGCTTCCCGGGCACCCAAATTCTTCAAATATACAAAACTTTCTGAGAAAAATTCCTCAACTAACTTGCTTCTTTCTTCTCTACCTTAACCTTTTCTTTCTCTTTTATCTGAACTGCCCCACAAACTTATTCCTAGAACAAGCAACTTCTCTCCAGTTTTTACTGAGAGATCATCTTGGGCCTTGACTTTTGTTCTTCATTTCAGATATAAAGGGCTTCGACATTTTCTAGTCTGCAACCTCAGATATCCTTTAGTCTAGAGAGTTAAAATTATCTGATCTAGTAAGGAACTTCATTTAAGGCATATTAAAAAAAATGAAACTGAAGAATGAGTCTATCTTTGTTTTTGATCATACTCAAATCTCCACACTCACCTGTACTACAGGTACATCATCAAATGCTTTAATAAAGTCCTCTTCATCAACAGCACCAGCTCCTTCTTTTGCAGCTGTTGAAAAAATTAATTTTAAAAACTTAATGTGTAACAATGCATAAAACACACTGGAGAAGTCTAAATGTACACAATCAATATTACATTTTAGAAGATGCACCTCTATTTCTTAAAAGGCTTATTAAAAATTCAGACCATCTTACAATTGACAAACATTATAGATTTCTAATATTAAGTATTCCACAATGTTATCTATGTTAGCTTAAAGTCATTTAGAGACTACTTGTTTAGGCAGGGAGAGGCTGGATTTTAAAGTATTTAGATGATTTATACTGTATTAATATACAAATCTTTTGAAAGATTCCTAATATAAAACTGTATTCTTTAAGAAGTCAATTAGATTACATTATCGTAAGGAATATAGCATAACAAATTTGTAAAATATTCAAACAAGTTCTAAAGAACTTAACAGTTTCAATTTTATATTACTATCAAAACATTTCCATTTCCTTGAACTCACGGTAATTATCAATTTTTCGTTTATGCACTGATTGCTGATTTCCCCCATAAAATCACTGAATTAACTACCTACCCCAGGATGTTTTTGCATACTTACAAGTTAATTGCTATCATTTGGGGAGAAAATTACCTTTTTTTTGCTAATATGAATGCCGCTTCACACATGAAAATCAGGTGACATTTTACCAGGCTTTGTTTTAATATAGTAAAGTGTCTACGTTCCAAATGAGCGTCTATGCTCACTCCTGTAACCCCGATTAATGACTTACACTGAGTAGACTAACTGCTCTTCTAAGAGCTTCACACCAGACATGCTCTCTGGCGTTTGGGGTCCTGACGGACTGTTTGAACAGAAAAGGACTTCAAAGACCATTCCTGGTAGCAGTTACTGTGAGGTATCTGGGTGAAGATCACGCATACTGTGTGGGAAAACTACTATAAACAGACAACAGGTCTTTGTGTCTCTTTTTGTGTAAGTGTTGGATTCCACAGGACGCAGCCAGATGCACTGAGTACCTCCTTTGTGCAAGGCACCACACCACATTCTGCAAAGAACTCAAAGACCAACCGCACTCCCTCAGCTCAAGGATCTGACGAGAAGGATTCAACGAGGAAATCCAAGGACAAAGGATGAGGGCAGCGCTGAGGTGGAAGACAGGGCTGATAATTCTGGCATACTCTACACAAGGGAGATTTGGAAGAAACACAGGTGAGGGACAAGGGGAAGAAAAGTCATGATCAGACTCCGCTGTCAGTACAGCCTTTCTAACGTCAGTGGTCTGACTGTGCTGTCAGTACAGCCTCTCTAACGTCAGTGGTCTGACTGTGCTGTCAGTA